CCTGCTGCCAGCAGGTCAGAGGGCACGCGGAGTCCGCGCCGCCGCACTAGCCCCCGAGGCCGCCTGCGCCATTTTGAATAAGGTCACCACCCGGAGTTCTGTGGGAGAAAAGCCTGGTGGGGAGACGCCCTTCCCCCCTACGCGGGACGGGAAGGATGCTACCTGCTGGAGGAACGCGTGTAACGCGGTGGTAATCGCGGTGCAGCACCCTAGCACTTAATAATTGCCTGTTAAATGGATGAGTGAATTAATTTCTATAGTGTTACAATAATACTTTCACACCCGTCGTCTGACTCCTTCCAACAGCACAGCAAGGCAGATACGGATCATTCCCATTTTGCAGGGGAGAAATACTGAGGCAACATAAAGGCTTGCAAAAGGCTGCTGTACATCATTTTGTTGGAACTGCTGGGCTCGTGGATGGCCTGAGTTGAAAGGGACGGTCTTTATTTGCAACATACGGTCTACTGGGAGTCCAGCGTTCTGTGCTTGGGGCATGGGACTCAGATCCGACTCCTTGTTCTAGAGTCTGATGGAGAAGGTAGACACGTCGGTACATAGTTACAACCGGTGTGATAACGATGAGACGACTAGGTGTTTCCAAAAAAATAGTATATGCAGGAGAGGATTTTGGAATGGTACACAAAGGAGAATTTTTAAAACTTAATAATTATGTATTTAATTGTTAAAAATGGGATTTCCCCCCTCTTTTATTTTTGTGAATATACTGTGTAATACATGCACATGGCACAGATTTAAAAAAAAGTTGTGAGTGAAGTCTGTCTCATGCCTGGGCTATGTACTCTGAAACTGTGGTTATATGGAGAGTTGCTATTGGTATCAAGAAGGGCAGAATCCTGACATTGGCTTCCTAACCCATGGGGCAAGGGCTATTTTGAAAGGAAGAGCTACATGGAAGGCCCTAGAGCTCTCCTTAACTACCAAGAAAATAAATCAAAAATAGTACCTTATCTTACCCAGGGATTAATACCACTCTCAAAGATTTGAAAGATGTAGAGTGAGTCCCATCACATCACCATTACCTCTTCAGTTTGTCCAGAATAGGAGAGAGATGGCCTTGAAGAACAACAGAGCATTATGATAAACTTACTTATTCTGGTAAGAACACCAACTTCAGGCGCTCTTCCAGATGTGATCCTTCTTGGGAGAGATCAGCACATTTGTTGGCCTCTAATAGGCAGCAAGAGGTCTGGTCAATGGTTATTCTTCTGTACCAAACACAAGGATTCCCTTGCATTGATCTGGCAGAGGCAGCAGTAAACCCTCACTGTCTGGCTTCAGGGTATGTCACTCTCTGGACCCAGCCACTTAGTTTACAGGGATTTTTTTTTTTTTTTTAATGACAGAGCCTCACTCTATCTCCCAGGCTGGAGTGCAGTGGTGCAATCTCAGGTCACTGCAACCTCTGCCTCCTGGGTTCAAGGGATTCTTGTGCCTCAGCCTCGAGAGTAGCTGGGATTTGAGGCGCATGCTACCACGCCCCCTAATTTTTTGTATGTTTAGTAGAGAAAGGGTTTTGCCATGTTGCCCTGGCTGGTCTCGAATTCTTGACCTTGGGTGATCCGCCTGCCTCAGCCTCCCAAAGTGCCAGGATTACAGGCGTGAGCCACTGCACCCTGCCAGTTTACAGGGATTTTTTTTTTTTTTTTTTTTTTAACTAAATCTCCATTCTAATGGATATCAGGCTAATCTACCAAGGCACTGATGACATCATCTTGATGGACCTTAAGAAAAGGGAATAACAGATATCCTGGATGATTTGGTAAAGCATGATGTGTGTGCCAGAGGATGGATAATAAATCTCACAAATATATAGGGGCCTGTCAGTAAGCCATCTAGGAGTCTGGGATATGTCAAGATATTTCCTATAAAGTGAAGGAAAAGAGTAGATCACACTCCCTGCTAAGGAAGAGATTCAGTACTTGGGCTTGGGCTTCTTTAGACTTGGTGGGAAACATAGATGTATTTAGGTACATTATTTTGACCAGTTACTGGGTCACTTGAAAGCTGCCAACTTTAAGGCAGGATCATACAAAAAGAGAAAGTTTTCCTACTGGACCAGGCTGCAGAGTAAATAGTTCTGGCTTTGGCCTTAATACTTAGACATTGGATTTTGCAGCAAAGTTACGCTTTCTTTCAGCAAATAGTTATACTCCATTTTAGAAATAGCTCCTGGCTTGCTTCAGGGGTCCGGTGAAATTGGATGCCTGATCCTGGCATACCACGTGACTACGTGACCTGAACTGAGTGTTATCTGATCTACTCAGCCATAAAATCAGGGGTGCTCAGCAACACCCTGTCATGAAGAGGAAGTGACATGTGTGGGTTGGGTCCATGCAAGTCCTAAAGCACAAGTAGGTTGCCAGAGCAAGTTACTTACATTCCTCTGGTGCCACACTCTTCTCCATTCCATCCCTCAACCTGGATCAATGGTTTCATGAACAGTTTAATGATGAGTTGACTAAGGAAGAAAAATCCAAAGCCCAGTTTGCAGATGGCTCTGTGTGGTGTGCTGGCTCCAGCCAGAAGCAAATTGCTAGCGTGTTCTAGCCTTCCTCAGACAGGGCCCAAGGGCATAGAAAAGGGAAATCCATGCAAAGACCTTGAAATAAAGACACATCAATTCCTGGCCATTGGATCATGATTTACTCTGTTGTTGAGGGACTTGGGAGAAAAAAAAGCTTGCAGCCTTAGTGACAGGAAGTTTTGAGGATGACAGATGTGGAAAGATTGCCCAGAATGGCTTAAGAACATAAGGCTATTTGTGTCCCAGATGAACGTTCATCAAAAGAACCTCTTAAAAGCCCAATGGGCAGTATGGCCGTTTCCGTGGCTGTCAGATTGTCTCTTCCCAACTATTTAAGAACTTATTCAATGGCTCCATGAGAAAACTGGCCCAGCAATTTGGACTGTCTCCTCCCCAAGGCTGGCTGACCTATCTACTCTCAGAGTTGAGTCTAACTTGCAGGAACCAGCCAGAGCCCCTGTGTGGAACCTTACTCTGAGGGGCACACCCAGCTCTCTTCTAGCAGGGTGATTACTTTGGACTATGTAATAGGGCTGGTTAGCTGCTGTAACAAACCAACCTCACATAGCAAGAGTTTTAACACCTTAGATCTTGTCTTATTCGTGTCGCAGGCCAATGCCTATTGAAGAGGACTTTGCAGTCACTCAGGGATCCAGTCTCCTTTGATCCTGTGGTTCTGCCTTCACCTGGGCTCTCAAAGTCCTCTTCATTCATCTAGAGGATAGGAAAGGTGATAGAGTGAGGGTTGCCTGGGACATTTCTTTCTTTCTTCCTTCCTTCCTTCCTTCCTTCCTTCCTTCCTTCCCTCCCTCCCTCCCTGCTTGCTTTCTTCCTTTCTTTCTTTCTCTTTCTTTCTTTCTTTCTTCCTTTCTTCCTTTCTTCCTTTCTTCCTTTCTTCCTTCCTTCCTTCCTTTCCTTTCTTTCCTTTCTTTTCTTTCTTTTCTTTCTTTCTTTTTTTTGAGACGGAGTCTTACTGTGTCACCCAGGCTGGAGTGCAGTGGCTTGATCTTGGCTCACTGCAAGCTCTGCCTCTTGGGTTCACGCCGTTCTCCTGCCTCAGCCTCCTACGCATGGGACATTTCTATGAGCTGTACCCAGAAATGAATATACATCACTTTTACTCACACGCCATCGGGAGAGAATTCCACCGCATGGTTCCCCCAGAGGATAATCCTTCCCTCCTACTTTTTCCTCTCTCCCCAGGCAGCACTGATCTGCTTTCTGTTTCTACAGAATATTTTGCATTTTCATACAGTATGTATTCTGCCTTGCCAGGCATCTTTCCTGCAGTATAATTATTTTGATTCACCCACACCGTAGCGTGTTTAGATAGCTCATTCCTTTATACTGCTGAGTAGTATTCCGTTGTACGGAAGTATCACATTTTGTATCCATTCAGTGCTGATTTGCGGTCATGACAAACATTTCTCATGCATTAAATTAGCTTATTATGCTGCTCTGAGAACTGGAAGAAAATATATTTAACACGCAGTGGCTCATGCCTGTATTGCCAACACTGTGGGAGGACCACTTAAAGCCAGGAGTTTGAGACCAGCCTGGGCAACAAAGCAAGACCCTGTCTCTCCAAAAAAGAAAGAAAGAAAAAAAAAGCTGGCAGGTGGTATATGCCTGTAGTCCCAGCTACTTAGGAGGCTACGCTGGGAGGCTTGCTTGAGGCCAGGAATTCAAAGCTGTAGTGAGCTGTGATCACTGCCACTACAGTCCAGTCTGGATGATAAAGCAAGACCCTGTATCTGTAAGAAATAAATAAAGGATGGGTGCAGTGGCTCACGCCTGTAATCTCAGCACTTTGGGAAGCCAAGGCAGAAAAAATGTTTGCCAGGCTGGTCTTGACCTCCTGACCTCACATGATCCACCCACCTTGGCCTCCCAAAGTGCTGGGATTACAGGTGTGAGCTAC